TTTCTCCTTCTGTTGCGGGGGTCCGTCCATCTTGAAAACGAGTAACTCCTTCCCTTCGCCCCAGACGCGATGCGACGTTTGCCCTGCATCCTGCAATTCTCTGACGAGGGCCGCCAGTGTCACACAAGTCTCCATGCTTGGAATGTCTTTCAAGTGTTCGGGTACATCCTTCTTCTCGAGCAAAACCAGCGAATCCATCAAGTTCTCTCCGCCGAAGCTGAACCAATCGCCCAAAGCGTCGCTGACTAACTCTTTTGCGTCCTGAGAAATGCACACAAAAGGCGTTAAACATCCAGGCTGCAGTGCTTAGTCTGTGTGCTGTCCATGTCACGTGCTTCGTGCGCCAATCGCCACTTCCAAAGGCAAACCTGGGTCACTTCGATGAAACGGTTTACAAGTCGACGTGTCGAACAAGACATGGTTAACTATTTTCTAACGAGTCACACTTCTCGGTTCCTTAAAGCCTGGAAATTCTCATTCCCGGTCACCTGGAGGAAGAGGTTGCCTTCGGAGGCAATCCATGTAGCCTGCCCCCTCATGTCAAGCTTGACGGGATTCGGCAGCTTGGCGACATCTTCCTCGGTGCTGTCGAACTGAAGATTCTTGTTGACATCCATCGTACTTGTTTGCCTGGGCTGCACACACTATCCCGAACTCTCAGGGCTGCAAGGCAGTCTGACTGACTATTAAAGCCAGGATGCTGCTCTGTGTACAGAAAGTCAATGTCGGTTTCCTCTGCGTTGTACTTCTTGTTGTGTGCCTGGATGATGCTTTGAGCTTCCTCTGCGATCTCCGCGTCCATGTTGAGGAATTTCTCTGCAAGGCTTGCAAGCAGGAGGAGACGTCTTGGTGACTGCAAAACTACGGATACCTGAAGGGAGAGGCCTTGCGTCTGCTCCGTGTCCGTGAGGGCCTGCATCCTCTGCACAAGTCCTTGAAAGTCCGGCCACCCCGGCAAGGCCAGTTTTCCTTTCCTAGCAGATTGGAATACGTGGTTGGCCAGTTTTTCGTCTAACCACGCATTTCTATCCCACACTATAGATGCCATTGTCATGGTTCGGTCGGATGCGTGGCAGTTCTCCTCGATCACCGCAAGTCCTGGCCAAATGTCGTATCCATGCAAGTCCACCAGCATCACTCTTTTCGCGTTCGTTGGAACCATTGACTTCAACGTCTGACGTACCAAGCTTGTTCCTCCTGCCTCTTGCTTGAGTTCTTGTACGTCGGTGAGCTTTCTTCCTAGTTGTGGCAGCTCGGACTTCGCCTGCGACAATCGGGTTTAATTCAGAGAAAGATTTCATAACTGGATTGCGAAGTTTCTGGAACATCCTGCCTCCGGCGAGTTGAAGTAGTTCCTTGGTAGCATCTCTACGTCGTAAATTGTTCCGCTCTTGAAGCCCGGCATGTTCCTGAAGACGCTTCCGCTTCCCTTCACGAGAATTGCGAGGCCAGCCTTGGTTTGCAAACTGATGATATCACATGGGGTATCGGCAGGCCTATACCCCCACCCCCCGCGATCCAAAAATGCAGGCCCGGGTCCAAAGTCCCGGAGCGCTTCCCGTACACTGAATCCTCGGTTCAACAGTGGTTTTTTGGATTCCATTCCATGATCGCGAAAATGCATGAAAGCAGCCTTCTCGAAGATCCATGTGATGTCT